TTGCCTTGCCAAAGCTGTGAAAGTTCTAAACGTGCCTCAGGGTTGGCTGGTAACATATGAATAATGGTTATTGGGACGTTCATGACACGCACTGCCATAGTTTAAGGGGTTTTGTCTCATGGGAAACGGAGAAGACAAACGAGCAAGAAGCAAGACAACGGCCTGACACGAGCCATCTCTAGTAAACTCTAGAGGGTGGTTACGAGACATTGCCTAAGTTTAGCTGTTATGAGTTTACTTCCAAATCTTTGCCGAGTCTCATATGTGTATGTATGTATGTGTATATATATATGTCAATCTCTATATTTTTAATCCGTCAAGGTCACAATTGGGAACAGAGAGATCCCAATAGCTTTGGGCTCATTGGAAAGGCTGTCTCCCCCTGAAGAGGCTGTGCCAGGGAGCTGCTGCAATGGCACCGCAGCCAGTTGATGCCTGGGGTGCCAGGCCGGCCCAGCTGCTGGTGGGATGCAAGATGGATGCAAGCCCCAGCTGTCAGATGGAAATCCTTTCCCCCACTACTCACTTTGAACATGGCTTGGGTTTTTAAGAGACTGGCCCAAATGCCACAAAGTCCGCAAGGGTCACCAGCAGGTGTCGTGTGCAGCTAGTCCAGCTGTGGTGCCTGCCAAAGGGCAGCCCAGGCTCCTCTTGAGACTAAATCCGCTACTGGCAAAGACAGTGCCCTGTGGGCCTGGCTGGGGAAAGACAGAGAAGGGCCACGTGACACACACAAGATTTAACTTCTGAAAGGGTTTCCCGCAGAGCCCAGTGAGGAGGAAGGAGGTCACTGAGCCCCACCATCTCCCGCTGCTAAGCAAGAGGCTGGGGGCTGCTGCAGCTAACAGAGCACCAGGGACATGGCAAGAAGCGCTGAGGTCACCTCTTGCAATGAGATCCTGCTGAGCAAAAAAGCCAGACCTAGCAGGCCGTTAGGCTCTTTGAGTCGTCCTGAGGATCTGCACCACAGTGCTTTATCCTCTAAAGGTTTTGAATCCTGTTGGACGCGACAGAACAAAAACACAGAAGTCTTTGAGAGCCCTGCCAAGACCAATCATCCTTCGTTCAATTGTAATCTCTTCCTCCCCAGCTCTGAATGCTGCTTTCTGCCACATTTAGCTCCTCTCAAAGAAAGAGCTGCTGTACGGCTGAGTTTCTGGCTCCCCATTTGGGCCATGCCAGAATCTCAGTTTTTGCTCTCTTCCCTGTTCCCATAAAACATAAACTGCTCCTCTTTGCTTGAAGGCCTCACAGCTTATCTTCTCTCCATTCTCATCTCTAATTCACCCCTACGCATATGGGGACCATGTGGGATAAAGCTTCAAGAGTACATTTGATGTAATTATTTTCCCCTTGTAAACGGATTACAAAAATCCTTTTATAACCAAATATGAAAATGTTTAAATTATTGGTGTGGAAAAATGTTTCCTGGTGGCAAATTATTTTAAAAAGTGGAGATTTTAACATTACAAACATAATCCTTTCTGGCTAACGTTTCCAGTCTCGTGAAACATCTAGTTACATATTGCGCACAGGGGCCTTGCTGTGCTAAGAACAAAGGAAAATACTGCCTGTAAATAGCTTAGAGGACATCAGAAGACACTTCTCTCATCAGCAATCTTTTTAGCTTAATATAGCTCCTCTTTGCATAAAACATTGACATTTTTGCAATGTTTAGGCCCAATGGTGCGAACGCTGATTGTCATCCTAAGATACTAGAGCGTATCTTCAAAAATATGCAAGAACATTTTACAGACAGTAGTTCTACTTGCCTCCAAAGTGTTGTATCTTAATATTTCATACTTGTATATATTTAAATGTTAGTACCACTGGATAAATGCTAACATGCTTTTATGCTAATGCAATCACTGAAAATCCAGATAATGTTGTGTATTGGCATATACTGTTAGTGAATTATGGATACCTAAATGTACAATCCCACATGCCTAGCAATTATTTTTGTTAGTGCATTTAACTTTTATTTGCAATCAGAGCACTTGAGGATTGTTCAAAATGCAGTTTACTTTTGCAAAGTGCTGAATGGAAAACATTTTGTTAAAGGTTTAAAAACAGTAAGGCTGTGAGGACGTTGCAGAGTTACAGTAAGGGCACCGCTCAGAAAACCCTAGCAGATGGAACTATGTTTGATTTGGTCACAGACTCGGTGATTAAGCCCAAAAATGCCTAAAATGAAGGACAGTCAAGACAAACAAGAGATGAAGTCTTGATTTCTCCTGTACCCTGTCAGCCTCTTCCCAGCCAGAAGTACACAAATACATAGGCAGGTGAAGATGGGTAGGACTGCACTCATTCAGGTGACCAGAACCTGGGACCCTCTGCTTCAAGGACCAGATTCCCCTGTGCTATGGCTGCTTTTCACCACTAGTTGAAGTCAATGAAGCAAGAGCCGTATCAGGAGGGAGAAGTCCTGACCTGCTTTTGCTGATTCTGCAACCTGGCCAGCCACATGGCCTGCTCAAGGAGCCGATCCACATGAAAGTTTTCTTCTCCCCAGCCTGGTCTGGCCCAGCATGACCACCCTTTTTACAGCAGCTGCATGTAAATCCACCATGAAACTATTGCCTGAAAGAAAGGAAGAAACCCTTGGCTTTGAGCCAGCCTGGCTGGTTTTACTTGAAGACACTGAGGAGGTGGCCACAAACCCATCTGGCTAGTGGGAGGTCATCACCCCCTGCACACACACAGCTCAGTTCTGATGCCACTGGTGGTCACAGCATGCCCAGGACACAATCAAAGTCTCACGGGCAGAAGAAACCGCCCGCTGCGAACTGCCTCGTCCTTTGCTTGCGTTCCTTCCTCTCCCTGCTGCTTTGTCTTTTACTAAAAGATCTCATCCACTTACATGTAAGTTCTCATGTCTAAATCACTCAGAGTTAAAAAAAAAAAAGTATAGCACCTTGTGCATAAGTGAAAGTTTAGGGCAAATTTGTGCTTATTCCAGCATCCTTAATCACCACATAGGAAGGGGAATACCTTTGGGAGCATATATGGTACATCCTCATCCAAAGTAGGACCTGGTACCAGCACCAGGCACGTGAGTACAGATTAGATCATGTCCCCATAACCCAATGAGCTGTGGCACCCTCTGGGCATTTACTCAAAGTCCTACTGCTGGACTGAGGCTCCTCGGAACAACCATGATGGAAGGAAATAACAACAGCCCCCTCAGAAGAACACAACAGAAAACGTGTAGAGCGAAGCACTCGAAATGCCTCTGGCAGTTGATATGGAACACAGAATAAGCTGAGAAAATGTATGAACAAACAAATTAACCAGATAGCACAAAGTAGACAAGTTGGCATGTAGGTGTCTATTGAATAAGAAACCTTAAGCACAGCACGAAAAGAAACCAAGCATAATATTCCTCACATTTTGGAACCGAGCTCTCAGACAACGCATCATCTGAACCACTTAATATTACCATCTGTCAGAATGTCCTCTAAAGAAAAGAGGCCTAAAAGCTTCCAAAGCAGAATTCTAATATTTTCATATTAGAAAAGAAACAGTTTCTGTCCAAACAAAGGCATTTGCAATTATGTGAGGAAACACTACCCAAAAGCACTAGTTAAGGCCACTGATACATGTTTATATTATGAGACGGTGACTTTCTTGAGTCCCGATCGTGTCACATTACCTAAATCAGGAAAGACGTGACCTAAGACTCCCCTTTATTTTGCAGGTCGCCTCTAAATGTTTCCAGAGTTTCTGCATGATTTTTCTCTTTATGAAGAACATAATTAAGAGTCTACATGCCATCAAAGAACCTTACAAAAGGATTACAGATATTGCTTCAAATGTTAAGGTATGTCAGAATATGAAGAAAGGGTCTGTGTTTCTGATATGAAAGAATATATCCTACTGTGACCAGTAAGTCAAGCTCTGTTTCAAACTATGAGCTGGATCCTTTTCTGGTGTAGATCAGTGTAACTGCTGCTGACAGTGAAGCCATACTAATTTACACATGCTGAGCACCAACAGCATTCTATATACGACTGCAAAAGAAATGCAGATTTTTAGACTGTATATTAGACTTAGCAATAAATAATTTATAACGGTGGAGAAAACGATCATATTTTTAGGCACAGAAATAGGCAGATATAATGGTCGAGGTTTCCAATCTTCACTCTGCACTTCTGACTTTGAATTTTGGGCCCGTCCAATGCCTTTCTAAAGTCCCTGTGCATGTGACTGCACAACACATAGATACATACAAACACATACATGGGCACACAACAAAACCTCAAAGCTAGTGAAACAAAAAGGGCACCGATAAAACCCTATCAGCCTACAAGCACAGCCTGTGCCACTGCATACCACCACCAAGCACAAGGGAAACCGGCCCCTCGAGGCCATCGTTCCATGAATACCAAACACCCCTCAGATCAGTCGGTTCTTGGCTCAGCTTGTTGACACCCATTCCTTCCCAGCCTAATTGCACCCCTCGAGGTTATGCCTGTGGGGTAGAGGCATGTGTTTGTGGGGTAAAAAAAAAAAAAAAAAAATAAAACCTTGAAAGACCAACAGTAGTTGCCGTGTCTCTGAAATCACCATTGCGCTATTCTGAAGCGGGCTGGGCACAGGGTGGGAGCTCTCTGCAGCGCTCGTAACTGCATCATCCTTGTTGAAACCTTCCCTGAGGAAGGGCTGCTGAGAGGAGGGGAGGCAGAATTATTCCCCTTGGACTTTGTAAAAGTGAGGAGGGGGGGGGGGGGGGGGGGAGAAAAATCAAGAAGCAATCACCGATTTCTATGCTGAGCTATTTCCAGCTAAGTCCAATGAGCAGGCTGAGGACGCACTGAAGAGCAGAGTGGAGGAAGCGATGGGCTGCAAGGAAAGGCCTAGGCGGTGGGGAAAACATTTTGTCTGGTTTTGTTGTCACCAATCAAGCCACCAGAGAGCCGAAGAGAAGCACACAGCCTGCCTGCTCTCCTGAGGCTCCTTTTCCCTTTCCACCCAACCCTGCAGGACACACAGCTCACCTGGACAGCGCAGCTCCCAGAACGAAGGCGGCATGTTCCTTGAGCACGGCCTCGGTGCTATTCAATCCGTTAATCACCAGCTGAAGTCCACCCAAGGAAAGGAAGTCTTTAGCGTTGTCCACCTGGGAAACAGCAGGTCTCCCTATCAGAATGAAGCTTAACATACCGCCAAATGCCTCATCGATTTTTCAAGGCCGTCTGGTTTCAGAAGGAACAACATCAATTCTTTTTAAAAACAATTCGAAATTAGCAGAAAAAGAGCTTGGCTCACATTTCATACAATCCTGCCTGCGAGCGATGCATGTCATGTTTGCAGAAACACTGTCTACTGACAGGTGGCTATTAGCAAATGCAGAAGGCATCACTGAAAATTCAAATACTTTGATTAGCTATCAAAACTTGCCTTGACGCATGTTGCAGCAATGCAGGAAATCTGACAGTGTTAGAACCAAAAAAACCCAGTTCTCTGCTCTCTCACCTGAGAAGACCATTACTGTGAACCCGGGGAGCTGTTGTGTTTTACAAATGCAAAAACAGAGCTGTAATTGCGGCGCCAGGAGTTAGAAGCCCGTCAGCAGCAATGGTACCTCAACATCATCACCTCAGCTTCCGCTCGCAGCGAGGGGCCCAGGCTACTCCAGGCATTTGTCATTACTACGGTCCACAGCTTCACGGGAAGGCAAAAAGTAAAAAAGCCAGTCCCTATTTGAAAGGGTTAGCAAGAAGTTGTGCCTGAGGGCAGACTATCCCATCAATTTGCTAGAGTAGACAACATTGGACTAGCTGCCACTAGGGAAAAGCTTAAGCACTAGTGGGAATTCCTCCAGTAAATTCATTGTACTTTAACTTTAAACAGACTCAGGGCTAGCCAGACAAAATCACAGCGGACATCTGTTCTTCGAGAGAACATCAGAAAAGGGCTCCGAGTGGTTTGCAAACAAAATTTAGAGAAACAGTGCAAAGTGCTTCAAGTACAAAATTCAGTCCAAAGTCAAATGATGCATTTTGTTTTTAAAGGGTTGTTTTTTTTTTTTAAATAAGCTTAAAAGGGAATCACTAAAGAATTTTCAAAATTGCTCGTGCAAAGTTTGTTTTTTTTTTTTTTTTTTTTTAAGAATTTCAACATTTCTCTTTCATGAAAAACATGAAGACAACAGCATATGTCGCAGATGGAAATGGAATATAAAAATGAGTATCAGCTGGGTAAAACGACCTTTCCAGTTTTAGTACACAGACTGAAGTAATGGGGTAATACAGAATAAACACCACAAATGGTGCAGAATATGTCAGACTAACATATTTTCCAAGTTTGAACGATCTCTCTTTTAGTAAACAGTGATTTTTATGCTTAGAGTTATTTTTATCTTGACTGCGTACCTTCCCCAAAATTGGCTACGAGTCAGGTATTTAAGACGCTCAAGAAAACGAAGAAACTATTTAGCTTTACGGCCTAGGGGTCTTTAGCAAAGTACAAACTGGGGAGCTACAGCTCACCTGTTGTTCACAACGGGACAACACTTGAGCGTCCTCCAGCCACTTGCTGTCCCTCTGCAAAGCTGAGTCGGTAGAAAACGGGTCCGTCAAGGTCTGCTCCAGATCATTCAGGATTTGCAGCAGCATTTTCAGCCTTTGAGAGCCTATTCTTTTAACTGTCCCTATAAATTGGCTCTGAGACACCTCCTGCCTTTCTGCAGGTCAGTCTTTGTCTATACGGAAATTTATGCAGCAATCTAAATTAATCTACCAGGGCTGCTTTTATTGCTCAACTCACAGTAAACCAAAAAAAAAAACCCTGAGGCTGTTTTAAAACTGGATTTAGAAGTTTATTTCCGCTCATGATGAAAAAAGCCTAGTTAGCCGACACTGTATCTGTCTGGTTTATGAGAAAACACTGGGCCACGGAGAATTTTGCTGTATCCTCATCAGAAACCAGGTCCTTTCGGCTAGCCCTAGTTCCCGGGGAGACCCTTCTCCATTGCAGAATATAAATCCCAATGTAAAACACATTTTTGAGATGTATTTCTTTTTTAAATCTCACTTTTTCGTTGGCTGGAGTCTGTTGCGAGAGCTACTTCTTCTCACTCACCGTTAAAAACCCCCCAGCAAACCCCACAACTTGAAAGCATGAACCTCCCTGGGGAGCGGGGAAGGTGCCGCAGAGCTGCTGGGAAGCAGTCAGCCTGCGCCTCGCTGCAGTCCACTGAAAGCAGCTCAAAAGAAAGCCAAAGATCAAAGGAGCTCCTGAGTAAAGCACACATGCAAGGGCGGAGAGGAGAGGGACGGAAGAAGAGCAAATATGACAGCAGCTATTCAGGGGGCAGCTTCAAACTTGGAGAAGGAAAACGGGGAGAGGAGACGAGAGAGAAAACATCAGAAAACGAGAGAGGAAAAGCGGCATGTCACCCATACGGAGCGGAGAGGGAAACTAGCAGTGAGAAATGGCGCAGCGTGTCAACGGAGGGGGGAGAGAGAGATAAGGAGAGTAAATAATTGAGAGAAAGAGCCTGCAAAGCGCACGAAGGGGCCTGGGCTCCGCACGCTGCTGCGCAAGCACCGTGAGCTCTGCTTATAAATGAGTTATGCTCTGGCCTCTTCATATTTACGTTTGTTTTTCACGCGTTACAGACAACCTAGCAAGCCAAGCCTCCCCGCTCTTTCTCCAAAACGGGCTCCCCAAACACGCCAAGCTGAATCGCGACCGACGAGGAGCGAAGCAGAGCTGGCGACCAAAAACCGAGCAAACGCCGAGCCCCTGGGCTGACGCCTCGAGAGCCAGGGAGCGCGTCTGCCCCCGGTCCGAGCGCTGAGCGGGGCCTCCTCTGCGCGCGCCCGGGCCTCAGAGGTGCACGCGCCTCTGCCTCCCAGCGCCCCGCGGCCCCCCGGCTTCCTCCTCGGAGCCGGGGGCAATCCTTCGCTAGCAGCCCCGGGAGGGCCGACGTTTCCCGCCGGGCAGGGCGTTTCGTGCCTCGGAGGCCTGGAGCCGAGCTATTAGCAGAGGCGGGGGCTTCTT